CCTGCAATCCCAGCACTTTGGGAGGCCGAGGCAGGCAGATCATGAGGCCAATAGATCGAGACCATACTGGCCAACATGGTAAAGCCCTGTCTCTACTAAAAATACAAAAAAAATTTAGCTGGGCTTGGTGGCATATGCCTGTAGTCCCAGCTACTCAGAAAGCTGAGGCAGGAGAATTACTTGAACCTGGGAGGTGGAGGTTGCAGTGAGCCGAGATCGTGCCACTGCACTCCGGCCTGGTGCCTGGCGACAGAGCAAGACTCTGTCTAAAAAAAAAAAGGAAAGAAAAAAAGAATTAATTAATAAATAATGATGAAGTAGAAGAATTTTAAAAATATATTCATGTGTGTACCTGGAGTGAGGATTGTTTCGATTCATCATATTTCCTGGCATTTCTTCTTGCAAACTTTATGCCAATTATTATTGTCCAAATGTATTAATAAAGTATCTGTTTTTTTTTTTTTTAGATGAATCTCACTCTATTGCCCAGGATGGAATGCAGTGGACTGCTCCCAGTTCACTGCAAACTCTAGCTCCTGGGTCAAGTGATTCTTGTGCCTCAGCCTCCAGAGTAGCTGGGATTATGGGTGCCCACCACCAGGCCCAGCTAATTTTTGTATTTTTAGTAGAGACAGGCTTTCACCATGTTGGCCAGGCTGATCTCAAACTCCTGACCTCAAGTGATCCTCCTGCCTTGGCCTCCCAAAGTGCTGGGATTACAGGTGTGAGCCATCACACCTGGCCAAGTATCTGTTGTTTGATGGGTGTTTACTACAGAGTGACTAGAGCAGAATGTCTGATTTATAAGAAGATGCAACACTAACAGGCCATACAAAATTCATTATACATCAAATAATTATGAAGCTCTGCCGTAGGTGTTACAGACACAAAGATTAATAGAAGCCCTATTACCGTCCTTGAGGAGATCTAGGTCTAGGCAGGAGAGTAGACGGACGACAAATAGTGATACTGCATTGTAAGAAATACCTGAATGGAAGTTTAAACATTATTCCATAACGAAAATTGTACCAGTAGAAATCTTTAGAGTTATAATCACATTATGATTTAGATAGAGAAAGGGGTCTGGGGATTTCACCATTTTCTGATTGTAGAGGAAAGTCAGAATTTGGCCTGCCTTTCTAATTTTACCCAACGGCTACAAGAGGCTAATGAGATTTTTAGTCCCCAAATGAATCAAATCAGGGTCACTCAATTGTTTACATGATTTTACATTAAGGAGCCTGAAGACCTATGAGATTATGATCTCGTAAGAGTTAACATAGTACTTCAGACAAATGGTACATTTCAAAATCAGGGTATGTATAGCTGTACAATACAAACGGCACACATTCAACACTGTTTAGGAAATTCAATGCTAAATGTATTTATTAAGTTCTTACACATTACTTAAGAAAAAAATATATTTTTAGCACTGTATGTAGAACTAAACCTGTTAATTTTATCATCTTGCTCTCACATTCGTCCTGTGTGATAACTGGCAAATAGAAAATGAAGACATCCAGCATGTCTTTAAAAATTAACTTTTTAATTGCGAAACTAATGTACCTAGTAGACAGATCCAAACAGTACCAAAACCAAAGTCCTCCTTCCCACATACCACTTACCTCCAGACTCCTCAATCCCACTCCTTACGTAATAATTATTGGAAGATACCACCTCGGGAGGCAGACTATCTCAGTTGAATCCTGATTCATCTGCAATAACTAGTGCACTTGGGCAAATCTCTTAATTTCTCTGAGCCTTAGCTATCCCACTTGTAAGGAGAATAACACCAGTACCTATCTCAATCTACCACAAAGGGTTAAATGAAACATAAATGAGCTTGGTAAAGCAATATAAAGAGCTTACATCTATGTTAGGGCATATTTATGCACTTAGATTTACGTTTTTTGTTTGTTTGTTTGTTTTTGTTTTTTGAGACAAGGTCTCCTTATGTTCCCAGGAGTGGGATTGAGGACTCTAGAGTGAAGTGGTAGGTGGGAAGGAGGACTTTGGTTTTTGTACTGTTTGAATCTGTTTACTAGGTACATTAGTTTGGTAATTAAAAAGTTAATTTTTAAAGACATGCTGGATGTCTTCATTTCCTATTTGCCAGTTATCACACAGGACGAATGTGAAAACAAGATGAAAACAACTCCTGAGCTCAAGTGATCCTCCCGCTTCAGCCTCGTGCATAGCTGGGACTACAGGCCTGCACCCCTGTGCCTGGCTTTACCTCATTCTTTTAATGGCTGAATAGTACTCTGTGAATGCTCCAAAGTGTATTGTAATTAGTCCCCTATTCATAGGTATTAGATTTCTTTATTTTCTTTTATTAAAGCAGTAGTGAACCTCTTTGCACATATATCTTTTTAAAGTACACTGTTTGTAAAGCAATATAAATATAACTGAATAAGTTCCTACAAATAGAATGTTTGTGTCAAAGGGTGTGACTATTTTGAGTTTTGAGAGATATGCCAAATTAACTTTGCCTTTTGAGAAGATTACAGGCAGTTTGATAACTTCCTGATTTCAACTTGCATAATCAGCTTTAATAATCAGTTTCAATTTACAGGGAAAATTGAACTTGATGTCTTTGTCATTCCTAGGTTTGGTCATCAAAGATTTGGGGCAGCTACGCTTTATTTACTCAACTAGATTTTTAGCTTCTTTCGGACAAAGATTATATCAAAATATAAATAGGCATAGAGTCTAATGCACTCTCGGGCATTTAGCATGGGGTCGTATATTGGTTGACATGTTAATTAATGCAGTAGAAAGTTGGGATTCTGCTGGGCGTGGAGGCTCACACCTGTAATCCCAGCACTTTGGGAGGCTGAGGCGGGTGGATCATCTGAGGTAGGGAGTTTGAGACCAGCATGACCAACATGGAAAAAACCCGTCTCTACTGAAAATACAAAAAATTAGCCCAGCATGGTGGCACATGCCTGTAATCCCAGCTACTCAGGAGGCTGAAGCAGGAGAATTGCTTGAACCCAGGAGGCGGAGGTTGAGATGATCCGAGGTAATGCCATTGCACTCCGGCATGGGGAACAAAAGCAAAACTCAGCCTCAAAAAAAAAAGAAAAGGAAAGTTGGGATTCCTAGTTATACAGCCCTCAGACATAGTTTGCTAGCCAAGAAACAATGTGAGGGAACCACATTTGTGAGAGATAAAAGGTTAATGTCAATAGAATACCCAGATACTTACCCTAGGGAGGCTGTAGTGAATATGTGTATGTGTGTGTGCAAGGGGTCTGAAAGCTGGTAGAGGTGTCTAGAGAAAGTCTGGAGGATAAAATAAAGACACTCCGAAACACAATAAAAATCACAAAGGCAAGAGTCCCAAAGGGCAAAAATCACAAACAGCCGGCCTCATCTGAAGCAAATATGCAATCATAGCTAAGAGCTCCTGGTTATGTAAGTGTGATAGCCACGCTCAAAAGGAAGCCTCATGTAGGGACTGCTTCCTGCTCTTTGAGGTGTGTTTCTCCCTTGACTCAGAAACATCCACAAGGTCTTCCTTTGAAGGTTGTCAAGGAGCTGTCCTGGGTGACGAACTAAAGAAAAAGCAAGTCCTGCACATAAGCAGAAAGTATTACAAGTTGAGAACTGAATTCCAAAGCATGTGCCCTCACTCCTTTTTCTTAGTTTTTAGTTTTTCTTCCCTGTTGGCCACTCACATAAGTTTCCTAATACATACTATGTCTTCCTCCCAAATTTTTCCTACAGTCACTCAGGAAATTTTGAAACAAAAAAATCTTACTCTTAAGAACGTTGCAAGGCCGGGTGCGGTGGCTCACGCTTGTAATCCCAGCACTTTGGGAGGCTGAGGTGGGAAGATCATGAGGTCAGGAGTTCGAGACCAGCCTGACCAATATGGTGAAACTCTGTCTCTACTAAAAATACAAAAATTAGCCTAGCATGGTGGCCCGCATCTGTAATCCTACTTGGGAGGCAGAGGCAGGAGAATCGCTTGAACCTAGGAGGCGGAGGTTGCAGTGAGCCGAGATCGCTCTACTGCACTCCAGCCTGGGTGACAGAACGAGGCTCCATTTGAAAAAAAAAAATGGAAAGAATGTTGCAGACAGTTGACTCAAAAGGGAATGTCTCAAGAGCAGAATGAAGACACAAGAGGGTAAAATACTGAAGGCAGTGAAACCAGACTCTCAATCATGGATATTTCCAGTTATCCAAAAAACAAGAAAAACAAATCTTTGAATTTACCTCATTTACAATAATCCCATACAAACAGAAAGCACAAGAGACAAGGAAAGATTTGAAAGCAAGGAAAGATTTCAAATTTTTAAAACTTAAAAGTAATAGTTTAAAGGGTTAATTTTTCTATCTCCAGGTTTATTTCAAATTTACACATTTCTCACCAGAAGGAAAAAAAAAACTACATTTTTGTCTTAGTGAAGGCTTTATGCATGGCATGATGTTTCACTTAAAGGATAGACAGGATGGCTGGAAATGGGAGGAGAATTGTTTCAAAGACAGGGATGCAGAAAGCCTTTGGAGAAGGATTTGGCAAGGCTTGGAATTTCTGAAGGCAAAAAAGCTGAAAAGGTATTCTGGTTCCAGACCCTAGAGAGCCTTAAGAATAAGAAAAAAAGAATTTGAACTTTATTTGTAATTTATGAGGGGCCTTTGAATCTATGTGAGAAGGCAATGACAAGTTTATAAATGGGTTAGAGGAGAATCAACATGGCAGCACAATATCTGGATGGCTTGGGCAGCGAAGAGACTGAAGATAGGACTACGGGTGCTTCCTAATGGGCCACCTGCAACTGGGAGCCCCTTGGTGGGTGGGTCTGAACTAAGGCCATGACTCTGGGAAGAGGAATGAGGTAATTTAGGGAAGAGACTTTTCAGAGACTTAGAACTGACTAGCGGTAAGGCTTACCGAGACAGAAGGATCAAAGGCGACTTTGAAGTTGGATCATGGCTCACTGGGAAACAAATGATACCATTAACAGAGAAAAATCAGAAAGAAGGAAGAGAAGACTTGACGTAGAAAATAAATTCAGTTTTAGGTAGGCAGAATTTTTTTTTTTAAGATAAAGAACTGCCTTTGAAGATATGCACACCCACAATCTAGTCAAGCTGCCTTTTCTCAGGTTTCTACATACCACTTCCAAAGTGAAAATTTATGAAAAATAGCAAGTTTTATGTTCATTTGTAATCTGTTAAAAAATCATTAAAGTATGTAAATTTCTCTTCTTCACAGAAAAAAAAAAAAGAGAGAATCAGCCTTTCGGTCAACAGAGCTATGCTTGAGAAGGTTCCCAACCATTGCTCCTGTTGGTTTTGCTGATGAAATGAAAGTAAGTGAAGATGGTATTTGTCTCTGCATTTTTCAACATTTGTCAATTCTTCTTCAGGTACAATAGATGTAGCATATCTGTTCAATACTTGGGCTCTATGACTGGACATACAATTTTAGCAGTTGGGGAAGAAAATAATATCCTGGTGGAAGGACTGCAAAATTAGAAAACGCATGAAAATCTTGCTATTTGAAGAGCTTAGGAAAAGGCGTGCAGTTGGCACACTGTATGCATGGTGATTTATGTGCTTTCTGCTTATTGTGATGAACACTCATTTATACGAAGTAGTTTGAAGGGATGTTGTCTGTTCTCTTTTCTGTAAATAGTAATATAGCTTCAATAAGAAAAAAACAAAAACATGTATGTGCCTAGTTTCCTTTTCTTTTCTTTTTTTTTTTCTTTTTGAGACTGAGTCTCACTCTGTTGCCCAGGCGTGCAGTGTCATGATCTCAGCTTACTGCAACCTCTGCCTCCCAGGTTCAAGCAATTCTCATGCCTCAGCCTCCTGAGTAGCTGGGATTACAGGTACGCACCACCAGGCCTGGCTAATTTTTATATTTTTAGTAGAGACCAGGTTTCACCATGTTGGCCAGGCTGGTCTCGAACTTCTAACCTCAAATAATCCACCCACCTGGCCTCTCAAAGTGCTGGGATTACAGGTGTGAGCTACAGCCTGGTTTGCTCTTCTTTCTGCCTAAAGTGCCCTTTTCCTTTTCCTAGATCTTCATGGGGCTGGTTCCCCTGGTCATTCAAGCTTTGGCTTTTATGTCACCTCCTCAGAGGTGATTCAATCACACTGAACCACTGTTTTCTATTTCTCCTCTTCCCCTTCTTCTTCTCCTCCTCCTCTTTTTCTTCTCCTTCTCCTTCTTCCTCTTGTTCTTCCCCTTCCTCTTCCTCTTCCCCTTCCCCTCCTCCTCCTTCCTCTCCTTCTTCTGCTGCTTCTGCTTCTGCTTCTTCTGCTTCTTTGGTAGAGATAGATTCTTGCTATTTTGCTTAGGCTGTTTTTGAACTCCTGGCTTCAAGAAATCCTCCTGTCTCAGCCTCCCAAAGTGCTGTGATTACAGGCACGAACCATTGTACCCAGCCACATGTTTTCTCTTTCTTACCATACTTATCACACTGTTTCCTTGTGTATTTGATACTTCACTTGTTTGTCTCTCTCTTCCTCTAGCATGTCAACTTCCTCAGTAAGCGGCCCTGGTCCTCCTTGTTCAACATTTTGTCCTTAGGAACTCAGGGCTGGGCTTGGTGGCTCACGCCTGTAAAATCCCGCACTTTGGGAGGCCAAGGTGGACAGATCACGAGGTTAACAGAGCAAGACCATCCTGGCCAACATGATGAAACCCCGTCTCTACTAAAAATACAAAAATTAGCCAGGTGTGGTGGTGCACACCTGTAGTCCCAGCTATTTGGGAGACTGAGGCAAGAGAATCACTTGAACCCGGGAAGCGGAGATTGTAGTGAGCCGAGATCATGCCACTGCACTCCGGCCTGACGGCAGAGCAAGACTCCAACTCAAAAACAAAAAGAACTCAGAACAGTATTTAACACACAAGAAATAAATAAATATTTGCAAAATAACTAAATGAATGACCATCTTTCATCTTTATAGTGGCCCTCTGGGCTAAACATTCCTACATTTACAGATGAAGAAACCAAGTGGAAAGATATTAAGTAATTTTCCCAAGTGCAGCTATTGAGACGCATGAATGCGTCTCATCTTAATACACCCATGACATTTAAAAGAAATACAAAAGGTTATCTCTTCTTTCTCTTCATCTCTGAGCATGAGTGATTTTGTTATATCCGAGCAAGTTTTAAACAGAACCGCCCGCTCTGAGTTTGCTGAGAGCCCATTCTAACGCCAGCGTCCGAGAGTCAGCTAGGACTCAACTCTCTCGGCCCAGAACAAAGCGTGGTCAACATTTTTATATCAATTCAGGGTCAGGGCGCAGAATGCCCTACATAGCTCAGAGGGGGTAAAATGGAGTTGGCAGGATTGTTTAAAATGTATTCACCAGAGCCAAGCTAGGGTATTTCAATTTCAACTTTTGCTAGAAAGATGTCTTATTTTTCTTTAAATTATCTGTAGGAGACTCCAGGTCTCAATCATAACATGTTTTTAGATTTAGTGTCTCAAAACCTTTACTGTCTTTCTAGTACTGCTTAAAAAAAAGTTTCCTTACTACAAAGGAAAATGTACATTTACTATCAAAAAAAATGAAAAGAGAAAACAAAAGAAAAAAATCCATCCACGTCTGTCCACAATCTTGTCAGCCTCACTAAAACATCTTGCTGTTAATCATCTCCATTAATATATGATAGACAAATGTATGTTTTAAAATTGATTACTTACATATTATTTTATTTTATATATCATATTATTTAGATATTTTCATATCACTATTCATTTACATAATGTTGAATGTCTATGTGACAGAAGGATATGACATAATTTACTGAATCAAACTATTTCTTTTCTCTTGAATTTTACTTTATGGGTACATCACCCTATCACTCTTTTTCAACTGCAATATTTACCTTAAAACTCACCCATTTTTAGTGTAAGTTTCTGTGCGTTTTAGTCAATTTAAATAGTTATGCAGCCATTATCATAATCTTTTTTTTCTTTTAAAGATGGTGTTACACTATGTTTCCCAGGCTGGTCTCAAACTCCTGGGCTCAAGTAATCCTCCCGCCTTGACCTCCTAAAGTGCTAGGATTACAAGCTGACCATTACGTGCAGCCCCTTACTCTTTTTTTAAAAAACAATTTTGTCAATGTATTTTATTTAACCCTATATAGCCAAATTATTATCACTTCAATATATAATCAATATAAAAGCAATTGACCCAGTGCCATGGCTCAGGCCTATACCAACATTTTGAGGCAGGAAGATCACTTGAGCCTAGGAGTTCAGGCAACATAGCAAGACCCCATCTCTATCAAAAATTTAAAAATTAGCAACATAGAGAGACCCCCATCTTCTCTACAAAAAAAAAAAAAAAATGCTTGGTATGGTGGCCTCTGCCTGTAGACCCAGCTACTGGGGAGGCTGAGGTGGGAGGATCCCTGGAGCCAGGTAGGTCAAGGCAGCAGAGAGCCTGAGGCTGCAGTACACCCCACCACACCACGCCACTGTACTGCAGCCTGGGTGACAGAGCAAGATCCTGTCTCAAAAAATTGAGTTTTTTTTTTGCAGGGGAGCAGATACCGAATCTTTGGAGTCTTGTGTATTTTACACTCACAGCAGACCTCAATTCGGACTAGCCTTATTTTAAGAATTTGTGGCTGCCATATTGGCAGGTGAGGGCTGCTGGCCTGCTGGGGAGGCCTGCAGGTGAGGTCATGTCCTCAGCTATGAGCTGGAGGGGTCAGGAGCAGGGTACATTTTCCTCTCTAGCTTGGGAGGAACCGCTCGAAGATCCTTAGACTCTTTCCCTTGTGGTTGCACATGGCAAGCACGGGGGTCCAGGGAGATTCACACAGTTCCGTGAGCATGGAGAGAATGACTGGGCCTTGGAGGTCCCGATTCCTTCCATTGAAGGGTTTTGTGTCGGGTAGAGGGTGTATGTGGAGAGGGAGGCGTGAGGGTGGGGTACGTGGGGCAAAGAGGGACAGTGTCCGAGTTTTTTTCTTTCCCTTCCCTCTTTCATTTTCTTTCTGTATTTCTTGCTTCTTCCCTATTTTCTTTATGTCCTTTTTTCCTTCTGAAATCAATATAAGCAATGGTGCAATGAGCATCCTTTTATACAGATCTCCGTGTACTCCTCTGGTTATTTTATTAGAATAAATGCTCAGGAAGTTTTTGTCATTTTCATTTCCACCCAGCAGTACGTAAACCTGTCTGTGTTCTTAAACCTTTGCCCTTCGCTCCTCTTTCTTTCCGCTACTGATTTGCTAAATATTTTTGATATTTGTTCAAGGATATTATTGCAATTTCTTGATTTTTTAAATTGTATTTTTGCCCCCCTGCTCCACTGTCTGCTTTGTTTATGAGCATAGGGAGGCAGGCTGAGGAAGAGGCAAATATGGGATTGACCACACTTCAGCATTAGATAGCTCTGTGACCTTGTGTAAGTGACTGGGATTTCATTTTCCTTTATGTCCATAAAATGGGGATAATTACTTTATTGGGTTGTTGTTAACATCAATGAGTTGCCTATGTCAAATACTTGGCACAGCACCTGGCACTTAAGCACTTGACAAATGATAGCTATTATAATTTACAGAAAGTTTGAATGTTTATGTAGTCATATTTATTTTCCCTTTAGCCATAGGTGCTATGCTTAGGAATTACCCTAAAGTTGTAAGACTATTCACCTATATTTTCTTCTGGAAATGTAGAATTTCTATGGTTTTGTATTTTAAAATTAAAATCTCGAATTCATATGTAATGTATTGTGGTGTATATTACCAAATGATGATCTGATTACATCTTTCTTTCTTTATGGCTGATCAGTTTTCCCAACACGTATTGAACAAACCATCCTTTGCTTACATATTTGAAATGTTACTTCTGCCCTATACAAAATGCCCACATACACATGAACTAATTCCTGCATTTTCCTCTTTGCTTCATAGATGTGATTCTTTCTGCATTGACTGCTGCTCTGTTTTATTTATTTTGGCTTTATGATATGCTCTAATATTGGACAAGGAAAGTGCCATCTCACAATTATATCTCCCAAAGTTTCTAGGACATTCCTATATGCCTGTATTTTTACATTAACTTTAAACTTGGCAAGCTCATACTTAAATAATTCTGACTGGCAATAAATAAATCGGTTTATCTGATGGAGACTATCTTTTACAGTACAATATTTCCATGTAGGAACATAGTATGTCCCTTTATTCGTGAAACAAAAGTACCTCAGTAAAACTTCATAGTTACCTTAATGTTCGTAGTGAATATTGCTTAACAAGTTTATTCCTAGGTATTTCATATTTTTTACTCTTGTGAATGCTATCTCTTTGACTTTTTTTCTTACTAGTTA